TCAGGTGCAGTATATAAATAGAACAGAAGATAAGACAATAGACAGTAACACAATAACAATAACAGTGTAATAACATAACAGTGTAATCAAAACTGTGCAAATACACAGAGAAAGAATACAACAGGACAAAAACTGTGCAAAAGTAATTTGGGGAACAGTGCAAAAATAGTACGGTGATTAATAAATATTACAACTAATACAGTTTTAAGTAAAATTTCGGCTTACGTGTACTATATTGATTAACGATAACTTAGTGTTGGGTTCATAAGGAAGAAAGCTATCCATCTGTTTTTCAAAACAGCTTTACGGGACTCCGGGCAGGACATGGGATGCCAGTCCATTGCAGGGCACACACAGACACAAACATGCACATTCTCGCACCAAGGCCAGTTTTCCCAGAAGCCAATTAAGCTACTAGCATGTCTTTGGACTATGGGTGGAAACCCACACAATGCTAACCATTGTGCCAATGTGCTGCCTAGAATTAATATTAATTTACTTTAATAAATAAAAAAGAATTTAGAGTATTTGGCTCACTTATTAACCCTAAGGTTAACTCAAAATGTTCCTATTGTGGCCATTAGGAAGTAATCAGTTACCATTAAGCATCTATGATCTTTAGAAAAAGCATATTTTAAGTTAGTTTGAAGGGTGTCCGTGACCTTAGGTTTTTTTATTATGTCTAGCAGTATAATAATGAATTCATAATAATAATAATAATAATAATACACTTCATTTTATATAGTGCTAGTTAATGTAATGGAACCAGTTAAGTAAAGGCTCTTCTAAAGAAGAAGGTTTTAAGTCTGGATTTGAAGGAGCTTAGAGAAGGTGACAATCTAATATCCTTGGGGAGAGAGTTCCAGAGCTTGGGGGATAACAGGAGAAGGCCATGTCACCCATACAATGTAGACGGACTTGGGGGACAGTAAGGAGACCAGAATTAGAAGAGCAAAGGTTGCGAGGTGGGGAGTAGGGCGATAATACTTCAGACAGGTACTGAGGTGCCAAGCCATGCAGAGCCTTATAGGTGAGCATGAGGATTTGTCCACATGGAATTTGACAGGAAGCCAGTGCAAGGACTTCAGGATAGGAGTAATGTGATCACTTACACTAGACCTGGTCAGGGTCCTGACTGCTGAATTTTGGACATACTGCAGTTTGTTCAAAGTAGATTTAGATACACCAGCAAGTAAAGCATTACAGTAGTCAATTCGAGAGAACACAAATGTGTTGATCAGCTTTTCAGCCACTGTTAGTGAAAGCATAGGGTGTAGTCTAGCAATATTTCTGAGGTGAAAAAAATATTTTTTGACAATATGCTGCACATGTGGGTCAAATGTTAAGCCAGAATTGAATATCACCCCAAGGTTTTTCAATTTAGACTGAAGCTCAAGTACAGAACCATCTACAGATAGGGTTACAGGATTGGCTTTACGAAGTTGATGGGGGGTGCCAATAAGCATGACTTCAGTCTTGTCACAGTTAAGATGAATGAAATGTTGAGTTATCCAAGTTTTTATGTCAGGGATGCAATTACATAGAATAGAGACAGCCACATCAGTGTCAGGTTTGGTATGGATGTATATTTGAGTATCATCAGCGTAGAAATGATAGCTGAGGCCATGTGATCTTAAAAGCTGACCAAGTGGAAACATGTAAATGCTGAAGAGCAAGGGGCCCAGTATTGAGCCCTGAGGAACACCAGACGTAACAAGACCAATTTCAGACCTATGCCCATTAAGAGAGACAATGTGACAGCGATCAGTGAGGTAAGACTTGAACCATTTGAGTGCAGTGTCAGAAACTCCAAACACAGTCTCAAGACGAGAAAGTAAGATGTCATGGTCAACAGTATCAAAAGCAGCACTGAGATCAAGAAGGATGAGTATAGAAAGAGAACCAGAATCAGAAGCTATTAGAAGATCGTCAGTGACTTTGACAAGGGCAGTTTCTATGCTGTGAAGTTGACGGAAGTCAGATTGGAGGGGTTCGAAAAGGTTATTTGTCATGAGGTGGTTATGTTACTGAAATGTGACAGCACGTTCTAGAATTTTTGGAAGAAAGGGTAAGTTGGAGATGGGGCAAAAATTAAGATTGTCAAGAGCCATGTTAGGCTTTTTTGGCATGGGAGTAATGGCAGCAGTTTTGAGGACCGTTGGTACAATGCCAGTGCTCATGGATTCATGTATAATATTGAGGACAATGGGACAGAGAGAAGAGAAACAGGACTGGAATAAAGTGGTGGGAATGGGATCTAAAAAAAATGTGGTGGGTTCCATGTGTTTAACTAGTTTATTGAGGGATGCTGAGTCAAGAAGAGAGAAGCTGGAGAGAAGGGAACCAGAGAAGTTGGATAAGGAGGGAGGAGGTATGGAAATTATATGTGTAGTGGAGAGAATGTGATGCCAGATGTTGTCGATCTTGGAGCTAAAGAAGTCTAAGAATGTGTTGCAAAGTTGCGATGAGGCAGGTAATGTGGTGGGGCATAAAATTAAGATTATTATATGATTTATGAAAGCTGTACAGAATAAACAGCCCAAAAGAAGCCTGAGTTTACCCTCTCTCTGAATAGAACAGGATAAAATAATTTATTTGATCTTTTCTCAATTCCTGTTTAATAAATAGTATCCCTTCCTTATGTGTATGATAATGAGTTAAAGCCGGTTGCTGAGTGAATCAGATGCATTGGTTAGGTCCAAAAATATGGTCATGAGCAGTCCTCAGTGCAATGAAGACCTTGCATAATCTGTCTGATCAAGTCCTATTATTGATATCTATCCAATAATAGTTAATTGACCTTAACACATGACTGGATATACATTCAATATATATGATCAAGAAAGGATGTTTAGGCCCATCATTACTATAGTGTTTAGTAAATGTAAGTTTTTTATACCAGTATTTTATCAATAATTTTAAACTTTAAAAGAGTAAATTGTTTAATCAAAATATAGGAGCCATTTTCATAGGGAATCCAACTCCACAATACTAATCCAGCTAGTTATGTAAAGGGGAGCATTCTGCCATTAATTGGATTAATCATCCTTGTTTAGGCTTGTTGTAAGGTATGATAATACTTGAGCTTTGTTCTGTGAGGTTGAATAGTTCTCTGTTTATAAATCAAAAAGACTGGGATCAGAACATAAGACAGGTTACAAAGAAGAGACTGGATTTTGCCACTTTCAGTTATGTGGTTGCTTGATAAGTATTTAATCCCAAACCTCACCAGACGGTTTCTTGAGTGATATGTGATAGTTAACACATGGTGGAAAGACTCCCACTTACCAAATGTCCGTTCATTAATTTCTATTTTTGAGCCAAGTTCCTTGTTTCACATTTGAGTATGAAATACTGTAGTCTCCAATGTTTACTGTAAGTACCTTTGGGGATTTGGAATAATTGAATCTCCTTGTGCTCCCCATTGCACAGTACGAAAGAGCTTTGGTTGCTTAATCTGAAAGCATATGTCTTCCTTTGACAACAGGATGTATTCTGGTT